GACAAATTAATCTAACTTCTTTGGCCACAATCACACAACATTGCAGCCCACTGTGATGCAATGTGGTGGTTGAATATACTTCTTTTCCACTTCAAAAATCAGCAAAATATGTCATTTGGCCATCGACTGGTATTCAACTGTAAATCCTCCTGATGAAGGGACAATGACAAACTGAGGTGCTCTGTACCTGTAAGATTCTCTGCTCTTTATTGTGTACAAGCCTGACTTTTATAATATATGTTTGTACGGTTTCCTCCTCTCAGTTGATCTTGAGTGTCTCCAAATGCTTCCATAAATAAAATATTTTTATTTTAAATGTATTTAAAGGTTGTTACTTACTGTTTCAGCCCAAAAACCTCAATCCTCTCAAACCACGGCCACATCAAGTAGTCGATCATTGTGACGGAATCACCGCCAAAGAACTGTGCCTTCTTTTTAACAAGCTCCTGAAAAATTAACATTATATTCATTATTGTTACATAACACTGCACAGTTGACACATGGAGGATCTTAATTCACTCATTATCTTTTACTGTTTGTTACAACGTAGAGGCAAAGTGCGCTCACACTCACTCTTGGGAAAATTTTGGCTTTACAATCTTTTTCACCAAATGTCTGGTGAATTTGTAAAGAAACCAGAGGCCTAAACTTTGTGACATACCTCATTTAGTTGGCGAAACTTCTCTTTCATTTCAGTTTCCAGGCCTGAGACGTCCTCGCCCTTCCTTCTCCCCATTGGGATCTTGTAGAAGTATGGAACCACCTGCAGAAAACAGCGGTATTAATGTGGTTTTTTTGGGGATGGTAATAATAGACAAAACCCAAGATTTCATGCAACATGCCTTGGAAAAGTGCTCCAGCATCATCTTCTGTTGAGCTTTACGATAAGGAGAGGAAGGAAGCAGCTTCTTCTCGGGGTAAGCTTCGTCCAGGTATTCACAGGTGATGGGAGACTCACAAATGATCTCTCCAGCAGCCGACTCCAGCACTGGGACGAGACCGAGGGGATTCTTTGCAAGGAACCACTCAGGTTTCTCTTTCAGGTGGATGTTGACGGTCTCATGGCTGAAACACAAAAACAGTTTTGCTATTTTTTTAAAGCAAAGATCACAGGAATGTTTTCGTATTAGCGATGCAAAGTTTATTTAACCAAAAAATATCTTTACTTGATTCCTTTGGCTTCCAGCACTAGTCTAGCCCTCTGGGCAAAAGGGCAGAATCTCATGCTGTAAATTCTGATTTTGTCTTTTGGCACTGGACCAGGTTCAGCGCTTCCTGGAAGAAGAAGAAAAAAATGCAGTTTTTAATTATAAGAAAGTGCAACTTTGAGACCATGATTGTTTATATTTGATACCACAAATGTAACATTTCCACAATTTGCCAAAGCTAAAGTAGTTATTTTTTAATTTTTTAAAGATTTTGTGATCTCTGTCAAAAATCACAACCAAGTCAACTTAAGAACTGGACAACATTTAAAAGAATCAGAACGGCACAGTTGTGGAGCCATAAGCGCTATAGTATACATATCTAAAGAGGAAAGAGTGAAGACTGGAATAGTGAGCTGGCATTTTGAGTTTTATACTCTACATTTGTGTGCAGCTGTTACCTTCTTTGCAGATGAATATTCTTCATGACAAACACAGGTAATTTCATACATTTATTGCACAGTTACAGATTAAAGTACTCAACTTTATGTAAAGGAGTTAAACTATAGTTAACAAAAATAGAAATGCAGCAACTAATATTTTATTAAACTCTATTAGAGTATCTGTTGTTCCATCGTACAGCATCTCTGTAACAGAATGGACCTGTTTACATTTAATTGCATACTATATTGCAAGTGATAAAGGGCAGATGGAGAGTAGGGGTCATAGACCAGAAATCCCAGATCAGTAATAATCCACACATCTCCAACACACAGAGTTAATGAGGTTGTCACTGCTGGCTTTTGCTGTGTTGTTTCTTCCTAAAGGGCTTGGCGAAGATGGCAGACATTTTTGGGGGACACACTGTTGAACGCATTTATCTAGAACTGTCTTTCAAACGGTGGAGTCATAGACGTTCATGCACCTGGCTGACGTGCCAGTTTCCAGCAGCCAGTTCCTGCCCTACTCTTATCATCAGTGGCATTATGCCCATTTAATTACAGCTGCATTTTAAAGTGGCATTTTGTAGCCACTGTTCAAAGGTGTATCTGTGTACAGGTTACGTTATTTGATCGTTATCCTGTTATCTACATCCTGACCAGGATGTAGATTACCTCAGTGGCTGAGAATGTGTCACCTGCTGTTCAAGGACTTTTTGTGCACAATTGGCTAAATTGAACCCTTTTTTAGCAGCACTAACAGAAACAATATTTGTAGCTTTTTTTTTTCTCCAAGTCAGAAAGAAGACCGTTTGCATGTTGCACTTATATTTTAGTTCAGTGTAAGCTGCACCCATTGTAATACTAAATAATATCAACCCTTAAAATTTGAACATTTGATATATAGTATGAGGTTTGGTAATTGTGAAAATACATACGTTTTAATGCAAAAATACAAATCAAATGAATAAATTATTTGTTTAAAACTTAATGTCATCAGGTTATTGATAACATTATTGTACAGCTAGTAGTCATGTTTGAAGAGAAATTGATTGTTAGGACTGCATGCAACCCACTCCTGTTATCTACATTTAGATAATAAAGGTGGGAGGTTATTGTTCTTATCCATCGTGACTTTGCAAAATAGTTCAGTTCAAAACTGCAATTCATCAGATTATCCACAATAATCAATTCTAATGTCAACAGTCATGTTAGAAAAGAAGTTGATTACTGGGACTGTATTCAACATTCAGCTGTTATCTAAGTTCCACTATCACTATATAAAG